TGTAGAAGTGTGTATATGCATGCCACTTAAACACAGCGAACGTTTAACACTCTACAATTAGGTGAAAGTACACTTTTAAAGCAATGTAATGACAAAAAGTCAAGACAACAAACAATTTTAACTTATTTTAATACTAAGTAAATCATTTTAATACTCAAATAACCTTATTTATTTGTACGTAATAACTTTAACTCAATATTTTTAGTCAGTTTGACTTACGTAAGCTGAAATGACTAGAAATGTTAATTTATTTAAACTAAATTTAAGTCAGCAAGCCTTCTTAGTGTATTTACTAACATGAACGAGCAATAAACAATACATTCATTATAGTTTTCATTCAACTTTCTTAGCATTGCATGTATAGAAGCAGAACAGAACATATTGCTTATTTAGTTAGACTTAAAATGTATTAGAAAAGAATGAGATGATAAAATGATGATCATTATTTATTGTCATGAATTATTTGTATTATTTTATGGGCTATAATTTATCATTGATGTCGACTGGAGAAGGGGAACGATTAAATAAGCATATGCTTCTCCCTATGTACTTTCAGTCATGTACGAGTTAAAACTGTTTTGTATTGAGCTGAATTATTTGCTTTGCCTAATATTTTTATTACTTTTATTTTATTACATGTTTAAAATAAATTCAGTTCATCTTTACTTCTATAGCACTTTTACAATGTAAACTGTGTCAAAGCAGCTTAGAAATAAAGTCTAAAGTATAACATTAGTTAAGTTGTTTTTGTTAGTTCCTGACTGTTAACTCGCAGTGCGTTAATTAAGTAATGTTCACTTTTTCAAACCTACACATATATAGGAACAAAACTATACAAAACTTTTCTTTTATATAAATGTATAAATATAATTTGTATCATAAACATACACATTTTATTATTTTATAAATGAACACTCAAATATATGCATGCATATACAGTACATACATTAAAAAATATATATATACACACACACACACACACACATATATATATATATATATATAATCTTTGCCATGATGACAGTAAATAATCTTTTACTAGATCTTTTTCAAGACACTTCTATACAGCTTAAAGTGACATTTAAAGGCTAAACTAGATTAATTAGGGTAACTAGGCAGGTTAGGGTAATTAGGCAAGTTATTGTATAGCGATGGTTTGTTCTGTAGACAGTTGGAAAAAATATTGCTTAAAGGGGCTAATAATATTGTCCCTAAAATGGTGTTTAAAAAATTAAAAACTGCTTTTATTTTAGCCGAAATTAAACAAATAAGACTTTCTCCAGAAAAAATAATATTATCATATATACTGTGAACATTTCCTTGCTCTGTTAAACATCATTTGGGAAATATTTAAAAAAGAAAACAAATTCAAAAAAATTTTCAAAGGGTGTAAATAATTCAGACTTTAACTGTATCTACACTGTACATAATAAATATACACAGTACACGGTAAATACACAAGTGCACTGTACATTAATCATTAGACCTTATTGTAAAATTTTACAGTAGCTTACAACTTTGGTTTACTTGCAAGTAAGGCTGTACATTACAATTTACTGTAAAATTTAAAGTAACTTAATGGCAATTTTGGTCAGCAGTAAGACTTACTGCAGTGCAGATTTACGGTAAAATTTACTAGACTGTACTAATTTACTGTAAAATGTAAAGAAACATTGGCAATTTTGGTTGGCAGTTAGATTGTAAACAAGCACACTTATTTTATATTTACAATTTACTGTAAATTTTACATTAACTTATTGGCAATTTTGGTTGCCAGTAAGACCAAACTTGCAAGTGCACTGTAAATTAATAATTACAACTTACTGTAATATTTACAGTAACTTAGAGGATATTTTGGTTGCCAGTAAGATTGCAAATGTACAACCTCACTGTAAATAAATAATTATAAAGGCATTTTTGGTTGGCAGTAAGACTGTAAATTTACTGTAAAATTTACTGACTGTAAAAGGTACGAGACAAATAGACTGTAAAATTTACAGTAACAATTAGGCTCATATACATTTAAATACAGCTCAATATAGTTAGCCAATTGTATTGGGATTAAAATAAATTAATTGTTTTAATATTCCTAAATGGATAGTTCACCCAAAAATGTATAGCTTAAGTTTTTTTCTTCTGTGGAAGTCAATAGTTACAGGTAACCCTGCTGAAAAATCCAGCTTAAACCAGCCTAGTCTGGATGGCTGGTTTCAGCTGGTTGCTCAGCCTGGTTTTAGAGGGGTTTCCAGCCATTTCCAGCCTGGTCTTAGCTGGTCTCTAAGGCCGGAAGTTGACCAGCTAAAACCAGCTTGACCAGCCAAGCCAAGCTGGGAGTCCAGTCAAAACCAGCTATATCCAGCTCAAACCAGGCTGGTTTTAGCTGGTCATTTTCCAGCCTGACCAGCTAAAAACAGGTTGGAAATGGCCAAAACCCCTCTAAAACCAGCCTGGTCAACCAGCTAAAACCAGCCAACCAGCCTAAGCTGGTTTAAGCTGGGTT